TTTAAAGTAGAGACTACAATACTGATATACACCTGAACATCAGCGGAGAGGACTCTATAAAGTAGAGACACTACATACTGATATACACCTGAACATCAGCAGGAGAGGACTCTTTAAAGTAGAGACATACATACTGATATACACCTGAACATCAGCAGGAGAGGACTCTTAAAGTAGAGACACTACATACTGATATACACCTGAACATCAGCAGGAGAGGACTCTTTAAAGTAGAGACACTACATACTGATATACACCTGAACATCAGCAGGGAGGACTCTTTAAAGTAGAGACACTACATACTGATATACACCTGAACATCAGCAGGAGAGGACTCTTTAAAGTAGAGACACTACATACTGATATACACCTGAACATCAGCAGGAGAGGACTCTTTATAGAGACACTACATACTGATCACACCTGAACATCAGCAGGAGAGGACTCTTTAAAGTAGAGACACTACATACTGATATACACCTGAACATCAGCAGGAGAGGACTCTTAAAGTAGAGACACTACATACTGATATAACACCTGAACATCAGCAGGAGAGGACTCTTTAAATATAGTACATACACAAAGACAGGCAGATGTTACTGCTGGGTCAATATCAGTTGAATTATACACTATATTGTGAATATTGTCACTGCTTTAACATGCCTTGAGACAGCCCTATCCTACAGGTAACTGAAGCTGTGCTCAAAGTGGCCAGACTGTCTCTACCAAAACAGACACACACAAAACTAAATATCCTATAGTTTGCATTCATTAAAGTCAATCAATAACACATTAGTGTTAGTAACTAATCGAGGCGGCAGTAGAAAAGCAAGCCCTGTTTTCTGGAGTCTGGTTGCTTTGTAAGAGCATATACGGTTTGAGTTCAAGATGAGGATGGACTGTCTAAAGGTAAAGCAGAGAGAATATTCTTAATATAGCGTAAATAGAGCTAATATTGATTGTTTTAGGAGGGCCTTTGTTTTAGCCCCACAGCAGCATGTTGCTTCTCCTCTTTGACTTTTCTCCTGTCTGTTCCTCTAAACTGGGGGCGTGCTGACCTCCATCTACTATAGGTGATACACTGACTGTGGAGCAGTAACTCAAACAACCCCAGTTAGAAACATCTGAACCATCCTTTTAATCCTCAACATCAAAAAGTCCAACTAAGGATTATATTCAATATCAACTAACCTGCCAATTAGTATCTCAATCAAATCAATACATGGTTCAGTCAGCCTTTAAATACTTCCTCAAAGTAACATCCTTAAATGCCTTTTTCTCAAAATGTCCATAAAAAAACATATATCACATTTTCTAGGACATAAAACAAAGAAAACAGTCATTTCTAAAACATCAGAAGCTAAAATAAAAGCTGTTTATTAGGTAAACTTTGCTTTTCATGAAAACTAGCCAGCTATTACTCCCAGCTGTTTAATCTGCCTGCAGGAGCTGCTCCATCTTATCTTTCTCACTGGGGTTCGACACACACACACACACACACACACACACACACACACACGCACTACACACACACACACACTACACCACACACACACACACACACACACACACACACACTACATCACACACACAACACACACACACACACACTACACACACAACACTACACACACACACACACACACACACACACACACACACACAACCACAACACACACACACACTCACACACACACACACACACGCACACCACACACACACACACACACACACACCACACACACACACACACACACACACACACAACACACACACACCACAGCACACCACACACACACACACACACAACACACACACACACACACACACACACACACACACACACACACACACACACACACTACACACACACACACACCACACACACACACACACACACACACACACACACACACACACACACACACACACACACACACACACACACACACACACACACACGTCAGTGATCCATGAACGCCTTCGCTGACACTCACAGGCTGCAGCTTGACCATCGACAAAAGAGGAGCAGAAGCAAGCAAGTGTGTGTGTGTGTGTGTGTGCGCACGCGTGTAAGTGTGTGTGTGTGTGTGTGTGTGTGTGTGTGTGTGTATGCCTAGGATGACGAATTCAGGTCAAGCTTGTAGTAACTGCAGCAGGGTCAGGCCGCCGTTGCCATCGTTACCACGCTGCATGCTGCAGAAAAAAGCACCCTGAGAGGATGAGGAGGAGGAAGAGGAGGAGGAGGAAGAGGAGGATCACTACGGCATGAGGAATAGGGAGTTGCTGGGCGAGGGGAAGGCTGTTGCCACACAGAGAGATGGAGAGCTGCAGCCAATCACGGCGGAGCGGATGCATAATGTAAAGTCAGGGAGCTACTGTATTTTGAATATGCAAGTTATGATGACATTTTTATCCCGGTGCAAGAGTGAGCATTACAATTTTTTTTTTCTGCAGATAATGCTTTGTCAAAGTCATCTGTTTTTGATCTGTTTTATTTGCTAGTGTGATTATGAGATGTTTTAACGTGTGTTGATTGTTATGCAGGGACTGTAAATGGAAATGAGCTTTTAGCTATAATCTGGCATCTCCTCTCTGTTTGAGATTTTTTGTGTGCAACCTCCTTGTTCAATAAAGATATATAATAAAACTGTGAGATAGTGTACTGTACAGTAGCCTGAAGCAAAGTGATGATAGTGAGATAGAGCACCTGGAAATGTCCCAACATCCCCATCACTCACATTTAACACCCTGTTGTCACTAGGAAATACTCCTGGAATAAAAAACTACAACTGGGAAATCACAAGAAAGTTATATCACCACCACCACCTAAATAAAAAGCCTTCTTTACAACTAACTCGCTGCAAGTGACTGTGGGAATAACATATTGACATCAGAGGAAATACTAGCATGTGGTCTTAAAGCCAAACACTACAAGTCCCGATATGCACATTACATAAAGAGTCATATGTTTAGGGTGCTTGGGATGCATCGTTGCAAATTGACTGTCAATCAGTGTAATAGAGTTAAATAACACTTACAAACATATACGATACTCAGCTATCCAGGACCAGCCCTCCCGCAGCTCGGTGTTCACATCATCTGTTGTTCCCGAAAAAACCGACAAGGTCCGCGGCGGAAACACACAGAAAACACCGATTTAACAGCAGCGGGTTGAAAAGAAATGTGAAATATTTAAGTAAAAACCGGAGACAGGAGAGTTCCCAGCGGAAACCGAGAGAGAGCTGTCACAACTGCGGCTGTGCTGGTGTTGATGAGCCATGTGGACCCCGCCCCTCCAGCCGGGAGGAGGAGGGGGAGGAATCCGGCACACACTCCAAAACACACTGTAGAAAAATATCAATAACTATGATGATCGTAAAACAGTGGTGCCCAAACACTGAGGGCCACATACAGATAAATATACGAAGAGCTGGGCCACTTATTAGAGCTGAAGTATATTGCCTCGTAAATGAAGTTATAAATTAGCAAAATCAATCAAATGTAGGTACATTGTGCTTGTTAATTGTATGTAAAAAATAAACAGCCTTCATCACAGCTCTCCGTTGAATTTATTTTGTTACAAAACGTGTTAGCAGCTAATCCCTTCAATCAGAAGCCTCAGATTGCTTAAGGGGAAATATGAAAGGTATATTTCAAGCTTGTTTTGCAAAATCTTGACTGAATGTATTTGAAAATTGGGCTTAATAACACATTTATACTGTGAAATATTTAGGAAGTACAATATAAGACAATCACATGTGTGGGTCATTTTCCATATATCTGCTGAGGGCCAATTAGTATTGACAACGGGCCCTGCCAATAGGCTGACAGCATAATATATTGAGGGGGTGGAAGAAGTATTCAGATGCTTTACATGAGTAAAAGCAAAAGTACCAATACATTTATGTCAAAAAACTGCAATACATGTAAAAGTCTTGCATTCACAATCTTACTTAAAAGTACAAAAGTATTATCAGTCAAATGTACTTAAAGTATACAAATAAAAGTAGTAATTCTGCAGAAACATGGCCTCCTTGTGTGTATATCATTTGTGAACATTTTAGATTGTTGCATCAAGAAGCATTTTACTGATGTAGACAAATACATTTCTGGTGGACTTTTTGTAGATATTTAAATAGTTACTTCAGTATTTGAGTACATTTAGTTACTTTCCACCTCTGGATATAATTGCATATTGATTCTTTAAAAACGGTTTTAAGTACAAGTTATCTTCCCCTCGTGTTTGTCACTTTGATTTAGCCTATACTTAAAAACACAACTAAGCATTTGTGAATTTATTATTTACACTATAAGACAGTATACTAGGAAGTAGGTAATACATCAATGATATAAGAAATGTCTTGAACAAAACAAGTTGAAATACATTAGATTAAATGCAGCTTTCATGTCCTCTTTAAGCACTTGTTCACATCCCTAATACAAAAAGGGGTTTTAAAATAATAATCACAGACCAATAATTTATTCAGGCGAATAAATGCTTATCGCAAGTATTTAGTTTGTCTACCAGCGTGCAACTTTATTCGTATTAACATTTTCAACTCTGTTACACTTCACCCAGTAGATGTACTGACCATGGTTCTTAAGGGACTGTATGGCATCTTTAGATATAACAAGTTAACTCTCGCGGATACAAGCGGCCGAGA